GGTATGTATAGCATTATCGTTGCTATGAGCGGGCCAGGAGTGATTCTGCGTGAAAAAAATGGTTCGAAAATGTGAAATACAATTTTTTACACGATTTTATATTACCCTTATTTTTCAGAAAATTGATTTAAAAATGATATATTTAATAATATCTTTTTCCATTTTAAACGCGTAATATTTAATAATGGTATTGTATTATATACCGACATATCTTTTTTCAGCTGCGGCTGTCGGAATATAAAAATCCAATTTTTTATTTAAAAAGATAAGGATAATTTACCAAATAATCAAATTGACAACTTTAATTATTTTGTGAAAGGAAATTTTTTATCTTGATATTGTCATCTTTATGGAACATGTTGGACAATTTATGTTACAACATAATTAAAAGTTATTCAAACTTAAAAAGATAGCGAAAAATTTTAGATAATTTTCCGATTTTTAATTAAAAGATTTTCTTGAAAATAAAACCTTGCATGAAAAAAATTGTACTTTATAATTTTGATTTATTTTTCAATGTAGTCTTTTACATATAATTTCAACTATCCATAAATGTCCTGTGTCCATAAATTTGCATAAAAAATGAGCGAGTAAATGAACGCTGTGAGAGAGATAAATGATATAGCTTGCTGTATCGTAATCGTTTTAGAATATGTTAACATTGATAGCAGCGTGAGTCACTTGGCGAATTATTAACATGATCGGTTTAGACTTTGGACGGTTTAGTGACGTGAAACTATAGCTAGTGGTGGCATGTCCGTGAACGGTGATGCCAACAATTGATAGTCATACTCCTAGTTCCTGAACAACGGTAAATTGATATATAGATATAAGCGGATTGGAACGGATGACGCGCGCGCGAACAGTTCGATAGAACTTAGATGGGATTTCCGATTATTATGCCAATTCCCGAGTAACTCGCTCTTCGACCGGGACTCCGCGCAGAGATTAGATTCATCTCTCGAAAGATATAATCTCCGGTGTGCTTCTTGCTAATAAAAAGACGCTCGAGGGATTGCGAATCACGAAAAGCCAACTCTTCGATATCTCGCTTCAAAAAGCAAACCGCACAGCAATTTCCTCGCAGAATCTTCACGGTCGCGCAAATCCTGCTGTGACTTTAACGCGGGATATCTATATAGAGTACTGCGACATTTTATTTGCAATTCTAGTTTTTGAAACAGACCGAACTGTTTGCGGCACAAGAAAAACGGTAGTGGGCACCTCGTTGAAATTCGCGGATTGGATCCATGAATCGATGGGATAATCCGGAACTAATCGTGTTCTTCTCTAGTAACAGCTTTTGTTGGAACGTTAACAACGCTTGCATATAGAACGCTGCAGCAGTTCGATGTTATATGTATATATGGCGTCATATGTACACGCGTCGAGTAGCCTGGCTGTGCGTTCGCAACAGGTTCTCCTCAACGTTCCAAGTTTCTCTCGGTTTCCGTGGGACATAGCGCGCCCGCCATAAAACCACCACACAGCTTGGATAATTAAATCTTCCCACAATCTTCCTACTATCGATCGGATATTAATTTGCAAATCGTATATGTAGGACGGCCTCATATTGTAGGTACAATCGATATGATTCTATATAAAAAACAAAATTCGAAAATATACATTGAAACTTTTTTATATGACGTTTTCTCGAGAAAATTCTGGAAATATCTTTTGTTATTGATGAATTTAGATAATTTTGTACATCTGCGACATATAAATTCAATTTTAAACAGTTTTGAAAGCGCACATATAAAATATTTAACGTCCTATTTAAAGAAGTGACAAAAAATTGTTACTGAAT